CAACCAGCGGATATCTCGTGGTTCAGACCATTCAAGCAGCGACTGAGAAAGGAATGGGTCAATCATTTGAGTACGCAGCTTAGAATGTTCAGCTCAAGCAGTGCAGATGCTGCGTTCAAGATGATAGCCCCCACTCGCGCTACTGCCATTACTTGGGCGACAACTGCATGGCGAGAATTGGGGGCGGGAGTAGTACGGAGTGGGTTTAAAGGTCTCTTAAAGGCTCGAAGTTGTGGCAGTTCAACTCACTCCACAGCTACCGAGAGCGAGGAGCAGCGCAACAGCATCTCTACGTCCGCCGATATCACGATGGATACAACAAGTGCTGTGGTGGCACGTCTCGAGACTCTGAATGTGATCATAGATACGGTAGACGACAGCGATGATATCGTCGAAAACAGCATTGGTGAAGCTGGAGATGCGTAGGTAACGCTAGGTGGGAATGATTTGCAAATTGTATGGCCAATTTTAGTTACTGAGGTTTTTTGGTTTGTATTGAAAGTTGTGGTGTCCGGATGGACATATGTTATACAGTACATGCAAAGCAAGGTATACGAATCCGCTACCGAACTAAAGTAGTTACCATTATTTTGGCATATTAAGAAGCTCTTTGGATAACGCCAGCTATAATACAGTAGCTATCCGGTTGATCGGTTGATCGAAACCACTACACCGGGAAAAGCCCACAAACCAGCACTAAAATCGTACATATAGTCACCACTTTCCAAACACGTAAGGCATCTGACTGTTGTGACCAGCCTTAAAGCAAGACACGTCTATTCTGATGCTGTGTTGCTAGTGTAAGTGGGTTAGCGCTTATAGTGTTCTATAATTGGAGACATGCAGCATAAACGCCAGCATGTTCTGTGTGACGACGTCAGTTTTGCGGTGTTGCTTTTCAATACTGAAGTGACCCCACAAGAACAGCAGTGTGCGATTATTAAACGCGATATAATATTACTAGCAGCGAGACGTTATCAAACGCGACGCAAATTAACTAACAGCAGCAGCCGCAACAGCTGTATATGTATTATACTTCGGAGAAATAATCGGTACATGCAGTGCTGGGGTACAGATATTACGATGTTCTTCCGCATATGTTAAGCAGCAATTGAGGAAACATTCGAAAGAAAGCTGCTGATTGCGAAATCGCCACATTGTGTGCTGTAGATGTCGAAAAAGCATGACCAGTAGGGCTTGGATACCATGTTTCAGATGTCGTTTCTCGGAATCAGTGTCCTCTTTCAGCAGGTAAACACCTGCAGTTTGCTTAGAAAAACGTCAATTTTAGTAGTGTAAAATGCTTCATGTTAGCCATGCAGCGCTGAGTATTAGACTGATCACCCACCTCCGAGTCTCCCTCAATTTCCACCTGACCGACTGATTAAAACAGTTTTAAAATGTTATTTCGATTTAGTAAGATAATATATAACCGAAATTTCTGATTAATACCTGGGGCTCTAATTAATAGTATCTTCATTAAATGAGAAATATTACACTTAGCTAAGGAGATAACATATAGCTTTTTTCCCTACCAGACCAATGACCTTACCGTTTAAATCTAGCACCTTTCGAACATCACTTCAGGGTTCGACCGTCATGACCTTCTCGAAGATTTTTTTATGAGGGGCCAAAGTTTGGTGGTCATTGCATCCTACCAATGCAATAGCAGCTGATGCAGTAGTATAAGGATTGATTGGTGGCTCTATTGAAGAAAGAATCATTACGATGACATTGCCTGCCAGGCTGGGTCGCTTTAGGTGGCTTAGAAAACTAAAATACTACCTAAATTCCGGCGAGGTTACTCTCAGTTACTGTGAGGGTACGCGATGAGAGTTATATTCGGAAAATTTCGCATTTTAAAAATCAAGCGTCAGTACGAGCTGCTGTAACAGCAGCCAACTGCCCGGAGTGTTTTTGCGTGCCCTTGACTTTGGCCGATCCTTTCCGATCTGTCAATGGGGGGGGGGGGTCAAAGTTGCGCTTGACATGAAAACGTTGCAGCAATAAACAATAATCAGCCAATCAGAGCGATTTGTCTCTATGCCGTTATGTTATGTTTTCTAGCCACACAACTCGAGTCAATTCGAACTAACGCCATAAAAACATAACAAATTTGCAAGGTTTTTCAACCGTGATGACAAGGGAAACCATGCTGAAGTGAGCGCTTAATGCCGCCCATCGACACCATCTCAGCGCAACGTAGGTTTAGTTATTCGTAGGCGCGAGGCGCTAGCTCACGCTTGCATAGGACATAGTCGACTGCGGCGCAGTCGCGCCCCTATCTAACTAGAACATCATAGAACAAGCACGACCCCAACAAGGGCGTCGCTCTCTCTGCGTTTCTGTGGCCTGGTTGCTCGTGACGTTAGCGCTCCGGCTACCGACGAACACGGGGGCGCGGACTTTGTGATGCAGGGGTGTGTGGCGGTCGTCTTGGCGCCGCAGCTTGGGCTGCAGATTTCGACCCACAGAGGCCCTCAATACTAAAGCTACTGGATAAGAAAATGGGGGGGGGTCAAAGTAACAGGCAAAACCAGACAATCAGAGAAGCAGCCTTTTTAATGTCTTTATGTCAAGATTCTTTTAAGTTTTACTCTGAAACCCCTAATGCCCAAATCTTGAAAGGCGGCATGTTGAAATACACCGCTGTTTAATCGACGTTTTAAATCGCGCCCGGCGGATCCGTATTTGCCCAAAACTTCTCGGCAAGTTGCCAATGCGTTTCAGTCATTTAAGTTTCATTTCTATGCGTACGGTGGCTTTTGTGCTGTAAGCTCATGAATATCACGCTGAGAGCATCGACAAATTTGAAAAACAAGACAAAAGTATTATTGTGATGCAAACCGCTGACAAAGTCTCATTAATGCGCTTAGTCTCTTCTCATCACCAGCGAGACACTGTCTCAACCATCTTGGTTGCTCCTTTTTGGAGTATTATATCATCAGACCTGTACACAGATAATAGGAAACAAACAGTTTTCATCGTTATATTTCAGTTGACGAATCGGAGAGATGGTTTACGCCTTCGCCTGTTATCACATTTTTCAAGTGCATTCCGTTGGAAATGAAAAGACTGCTAACTATTGTAGCCTCAAAAATTGCGTTACCCACACTCATCACAAGACTAAGCGTCGGTGCTTTATGATCGGTGCCTTTCCTTTACTCAGAAAAAAACTTAGGGAGAACAGAACAATAGTCGCATTGGGAAGAAGCCTGTAACTGGCTGGGCCTATGTAATCAACAAAAGGATTTTTGTCATTTTATAGAC